ATTGATCACCGTTCTGGATCGGGCCCGAAGGACCTGACGATTCATCGATTTGCGGCAAACAGGGACTATATTTACGGACGACAAACTCGAATCGTAACCTATCAATGGCATCGGAGTAAATCACCACCACCACTGTGACAAATACCAGAGCAAAATAAATCAACCGCAACTTCCGCGGCGAGGTAATCCAGGCGGCCATTCTCCGCCCTCCAAAAAAACTGCTTGGAGCGTAAACGATAACCGGGGGGGGATCATTGACACTGGACGATCTTTGGCAAGCGAAAGCGACGGATGATATTGGGAGAAAGGGTACTTAAGACATTCGGCGCAAAGCTCATTTTTAGAAACTCCTCGCCTGGTGCCATACTCCTTTGGATCTACAGAGCATGTATACATTTTGGCTTTTTTGGCCGAAGCCGCTTGCTCCGGAGAAAAGCAATGGAGCGTGTTTGAATGCTTCTTCCATTCGCGGTTTAGCGACCGGCATTTCATGCGTGTGCTGGAACTTTGAGCTTATCACCGAGTCAATCGCCGCAACTTCCATGTGCGCTGGGATAGCAGCATTCGCAGGGTTTGCCCAAGCGTAAAAGAGCTTCCAGGCTCTCACCGTTGGGCGATGACGAAGTCCAACGCCGAGCTCGCAGGTAATTTGCCACAAGGATGACGCTCTTAGAAAAGCCAAAGACTCGCAGCCTAGCAGTTCCATGGCTTTGAGGCTTGATAGGACAAGACCTGGTTGCTCCCCTGCACTGCAGGTGCCAACAGTCGGAGTTAATGTCGCATATCCGATGCTTTTGTGATGCCAAAATTTGTCTCGGATATCAATTCACAAGCATACTGAGGTATTGTGATTCGCAAAACGGAGTCAAGTTCCCTAATATTTCACTAATCACACGTCGCTTTGCCAGACTGGAAGATAGATGCGAAAGTCAAAGCCACGAGCTTCCCGGTCTGGGAAGGAGAGTTGAAAGCGGCCACACACAGGGTCGCTAACTTAAGGTTGTTGGGTCTGATAATTGTTCTGTCAGGTTAATGAGATTTTGACACAGAGGCAACAAGCCGTAGTTGGCTTTTTGCGACGTGACGGCGCTGTTGACATATTTGATGTTGTTGAGGTCCAATCAAGCCTCCATGGCTGCCGCCAAGCGTGTTGGTCATGGATTCTGGAAAAGGGGACCCGGGTCCGTTGGTGCTTGGCTGAGCCGGGCGCCGCTAAGGAGACAACCCGAGTTGGAGTGCCCCCGAGCCCCTAAATTGAAGCCTATGGTTCGGCCACACTGGCTGTGATTGATGTCATCCGCAAGGTCAAGAACCGTGAAACAAAAACATTTTTGACTGCTTTTCATGCTAATTACTTATGTACTCTAATATGGAGTATCTATCTAGTTGACAATGCCTTTTTATCCTTCTCCCTGAGAGCGGTGCTGTTTTCCAAGCTCTCTCTAAAATCTAACCAGCCAACCAATTTAGTTACTCCCACAGATACCCTTGCCCTCCCGATCTAATAAAAAGCAAGGTTCGGAATCATAGGCTGTGCATCCTCTCGTCTCGAAAATGACATATTTTACACAAAGCTCGTTAAACATCGAGCCAACTCATGTGGCATGATTCATACTTTTGCTCGTCCTCTCCACCTATATCCAAGGCAGGCCCATCTCGAGATCACAATGGAGATGAGGGCCAGGATCAGGATTCCACCAGAGAACGCAACAAATGTTGTTGTTCCTGCTCTTGATTGAAGCTCGGCAGCAATTGGGATAGAGATTAAGGTCCTGGGCTGGTGGTCAGCATTGCCTTATAATCGCTTTGGACGCTGTACTCACGCGAGAGCCACCATGCTATAGCTGGTGCCAAACCATTGACCGTAAACACTCGCTTTGCAGAGCTGGCCAATGCATACGGGGGAGTAACGCACGACGCTTCCCGAACCGAATCCAAACACTGGCACCATGAC